TTGTGCTGCCCATGGACAAAAATCAGGGTGAGTACATCTAGAACACATGCTTTCTCCTGGGTGTGAAGTAAAACAGTGACTAAGGATAGCAGCACTGTGAACCCACCTCCAAAGTTGCTTTCTGCTCTCTAGATCTATTGGAACCACTGCCACTCAAGCTCCTCTCAGGATGGAACTATTTTTGGTTTAAAAATCTAATCACTCATAATATCCACATCCTAACTCAATGCAAAATGCTGCTGGTATTTAATAATGTGGGTCCTAAAATATTATGGTATGTCACATGCTTATTTACCTGTATTTCTAGTCATCTATTTCCTTCTAGTTCAACACTTCAAAATTAGTGCTTTCTGGAATTATGGTGTAACAAACTCTTATTATACCTTCATAGAACCTATCTAAGTGTTTTGATAACAAGAAGGGCAGAGTAGAAGGCAAACAGACCAAAAGACAATACAATAAGTAAAGGCTTAAGTACTGTAGTTTCAAGTCTGAAAATACCAACTGTGTGAACTTAGCAAGTCATTATATCTTTCTGAGGTATCTGTTCATATGTAAAATTGGGATAATAGCTCAACTATTTATCAGGCAGGGGTTTAGCAAGGATCATATAAGATCATGGACACAAAAATGTAAACCATACATGACACAAATAGATACAACAGAACTTTATAAACTATAAATGACACTGGTACAGAAAGAAAAATGGATTCTCCATGTGAAAAACTATAAAGGATGTTGTATAAGCATAATTATAGAGTCACTAACATCCCTCAGAAAATAAGGGTTCATACACTAGATGAAATCTTTGGGAAAGAATCACTGTAAGCTCTGCACTTCAAACTGAAACATTTGCTGTGGGAAAGATAGACTTAAACTAAATTTTAAAAAATTAAGTAGCACAAGGAGATTTAATATAATTCACAGCTTATTTTGAATAGTAATGTTACATGTTTTTATTAGAAAGTAATTTAAACATGTAATTTTAAACTAGTACTCTAATTCTTGATTGCATTTTTCACCACATTTTGAGACTCGAATTTCATAATGAATGTCAATGGAGATACATGATTCAACTCTTTATAGTCAGCTTTTCAGGAAAGTACCTATTCTGTAAAATCTTTTTGGACATCCATGCCCTTGTACAAAAGTATAACTCATAAACAAAATGTATGTTATTAGCAACAAATACATAGTTTGCATTGTCAAGACACAGTCAAGCCAAATGATAATTTTAAAGTTTTGAGAAATGAAAATAGTGACTAAAACTTAAAAAGCGGACATAGTTTAGTAAAGGATCTTTAGTTAAATAAGACATTCTAGATTATTGCTTATGTAAATGAGTAACGGTGTGATTTTCATACAACACTGCATTCTTATCCTGTTTTGTCATTATTATCCAAAAATAATTTACACCAGTAAAAGTCACTCAAAGTAAACCCGCCTGGGCAACTTGGCGAGACCTCATCTCTACAATAAATCAAAAAATTAGCCAGACGTGGTGGTGCACACCTGCAGTTCCAGCTACTTGGAAGGTTGAGGCAGAAGGATCGCCAGAGCCCAGCAGGTCAAGGCTGCGGCGGCTGGGAGCAGCTGCTGCACTCCAGTCTGGGCGACTGAGTGAGAATCCAACTCAAAAAAAAAAAAAAAAAATCAAAAACAGAGGCCAAAACTTTATTGGTAATAGTGAAAGGGAGATTTGGTTGGGACTCAAAAATTGAGTCCCAATTCTCAACTGGGAAATTAATTTTTCAATTAATTTGAGAAACAAAATTAAAAAGCATACAAAAAAGTTTCTTGTATCTTATACTGAACAAAATGTATGTTACAATTATACCTGTCTATTAAGTTCTCATAACAGGCCATTGCCTTGCTAACCAGTGGTTTGGCCACGTGCTCTTTGAGCTATGGTCAGGCCATGTTTTCTTAAGTTTTGGCCCACTCCCCTACCTTGGGGAGGTGAATCTCCTCTTTCTCTCTCTCTCCAATTTACTTTCTAAATAAACTATATTTTTTAATCTAAAAAAAAAGTTCTCATAACAAAGAATGAATGAAACACTTATTTTCTTTTTGGCATAATTTCTAGCAAATAATATAACTAAATATGACATCTTTCCCATTGTCTTTGATTTTACATAATAATTACAAAGAGAATCTCTTTACAAAATATTCAAGGGCTCTATCAGCTCTGCCAGGGAACACTCTTAATCCTTTGACATTCAAATTTTCCCTTTGGAAGCACCTATTTTATCACTCTCATTGATTTTCTCTTCTTCAATTGTAAACTTCCCCAATTCTGTCAGATCTGTATTTGTCAACAGATCTGCAAGCAGTTCTCCTACATTGATTTCAAAGACAACTTAAATGCTAAAACTTTTGTAAAATTTGCAATTTCACTTGCTATCTGCACTAAGAGACTGGAAAGGGATAAACCCCAAAATCAACTTGAACAACAAAGACTATATGACTACAAGTGAATTTTCTGAAAAGTTAGACTACTATTTAAATATTTTTGTGTTGTGATGACCTTCTTATGAACAAGTCTTTTAAGTAATATAAAAACTGACAAAAAGGACCTTCCTCTTATTATGTACTACTAAGTAGTAAATTATTTAGGTAACTTATTTACCTGTAAAAGAACACAGACGAAATCTTAGTTCTAAGATAATTAATGGAGAAGTCAAAAAACATCTTGGTCTAATGACTTGAATAATAAAAATCTTAGATTGCTTTGGCTTTGCAATCTTTTTTTCTTTTTTTGTTGAGTTGGAGTCTCACTCTATCACCTAGACTGGAGTGTAGTGGCCGCTCCCGGCCACCATAGCCTTGACCTGCTGGGCTCCGGTGATCCTTCCACCTCAATCTTCCAAGTAGCTGGAACTACAGGTGCACGCTACCACGCCCGGCTGATTTTTGATATATTGTAGAGATGAGGTCTTGCCAAGTTGCCCAGGCGGGTCTCAAACCCGCGGGCTCAGGCAATCCACTCACCTCAGCCTCCCAAGGCATGGGATTACAGGCTGAGCCACCAAGCCCGGCTGCAATCTTTTTTTCTAATGCCTCAAATCCTATCTCTGAAAAGGGGAATCCATCTACCTTTGAGGGACTGAACAATAATAAATAAAATACTAGTGGAAAATTTTCAAGACTTCAGATGAAATTATATCCATATGAGTAGAATAAGTTATACTCTGCACCTTACCCTTTTGAAAATGAAGCATCAACTTTTTACTGATGTTAAATTCTCTTCAGTTACAATGATAAGCAGCAATTACGTATGCTCAGAATCGTGTCTAACTTAACAATTATGGCTCTCTCCATTTCTTCAAAATCTCTGCTAAATTTCTGCCTCATCTACCAATGGCATGACAATCTCAGGCTCATGGGGCTGTGGGCTCTCCCTAACTACTTCCTATGGAATTTTCTATTTTTTCTGATAATACCATCATGCTTGGGTTTTGTGTCCTCTGCTACAAATCAAGCCAGCCCATACAACAGTAAAGGTAATGATTTCACAGCCACCCTGCCCTGGCAGCACCATCTTGCCTACCAGCTAAAAGTAAGGGGATGAGGAATGGAAGCAGCCCTAGGTAAGAATGTCACAGACTCCCACTGTTCTTATCCAACGTTCAAAGTATTTTATGAATATACACTTTCTCAATGTGTTGTTTGCCTTTGGTCAATTTTCAAATACCTAAGTTTTTAGGGGGTTTTATGGACAATTTTGTCAAATTTTATATTTGTTTTGGGGGGAGAGGATTTGCAGCATCTTTATTCCACTAACTCTGGAAGCTCCACCCCCCTCCTGATTGTAGTTTTTATCAAGAGAATGAAAAGATAGTGGAAGAGAAGGAAAAGCATGACTTTTGACAAAGATACAGTACTAGGGGTCATTATATGACCATGGGCAAGTTACTTAACCTTTTTGAGCCTCAATGTCACCATCTTATGAAACCTTATAATATCCTTATTAAGTTGTTACAAACATTACTTAATGTCATGAACACTAGCAGACGCTTAACAAATGTTTCTTAAGTCACAAACAATGTGAAGGTTGTGACAGTCATGAAGGTCTATGAAAATATTTAATTCCTTAAATAAGCAAAAGGAGGAAAATAAATTTTAATATTAATATTTAGTATGCTGAAAAACTCCTGATGAAGAACAAGGGGGAAATAACCTCTGAGTACTATAGTGACAAAAATTCATAATTAAAGGACAGAAGACCTTCCACTGGAGACATCTTAGCACAGATAACTAACAGCGAAGAATTGTGCTTCTTGAAACATGGTAATAACTTTATTTTCTTTCCTCCTAAGCAATACAGTGTACAAATAACAACACATCTTTTTTTTAAATTGAAATTACCTAAAATAAATAAATAAAAACAAAAGAAATTACCTAAAGGTCTTTACATAAAACTTCTGAAGTTTAGTTTCAACAATATATCTATTTAAAATGCATACACATCACACTACTGCTACATTTTGAAGATAACCGAAAGAATTCGAAGAAGCCATGTAAGGAAAATAAAAAAAATAATTCCACTCTTCATTAAATCATGACTAACGTTTTATATTTGGATAGAACAAAAGCTGGATGACTTTTTTTTTTAGTTGAAGTCTCATTCTGTTGCCCATGCTGGAGTGCAGTGACATGATCATGACCACCCATGCCTTGACCTCTTAGGCTAAGGTGATCCCTCCAGTAGCTGAGACTACAGGTGTGCACTACCACATCTGTCTAATTTTTAATTTTCCTTTTCTTTTCTTTTTTTGTAGAGATAAGGTCTTACCATGTTGCCTTAGCTGGTCTCAAACTCCCGGGCTCAATCAGTCCTCCCACTTCAGCCTCCCAAAGTATCGAGATTATAGGCAGGAGCCACTGCGCCCAACCAAAATGACATTTTAAAAAACTCCAACACCAAATAGCAAGTCAGGTAAGAAAAATCACCATACCACTCTTGTTACTTTTACAAAGTAAAAAAGAAAATGACTTACCTCTACAGCAAAGATTCCTTTGTCACGCCCATATAATTTCATCTCTTCTGGAAAATGCTGAAAAGCATTTACATAAGGAATATGGTCCTCCTCAACAAATCTGTATTTTTAAAAAGTGTCAATGAGAGCTATGTATTGACTTTGCAGAGTAAATGCTTTCAGAAAAAAAATCTCTTATTTCAAAGAAAAGGTAAGAATCAGTTGAGCATATTCTATCTCCCACATATTTCTTAAACTTTTACTTTATTACAGGAATGTGGGGCACTTAAATAGGCCGAATGTAGGTGAAGTTTGGGCTTCTAAATGGCCCTCACTCCCCCGGTAATGAACCAAGTACCCTTTGTGTTGTCATGTGCCCCCCTCTCCCTCCTCCCTCCCTTCCTCCCCTAGCAGTGTCTAATGACAGCCAATCCCTCCCTTGTGCTAATGTGACTAACATTGAAGGCCCACTTATGAATGAGAACATGTAGTATTCAGATCTTTGTTTCTGTAATAGTTCACTTAATATGATGGTCTCCAACTCCATCCAATTTGGTGTGAAGTCCATGATTTTGTTCTTCTTTATGGCTGCTTAATAATCCATTATGTATATGTACATTTTCTTTATCTGGTCCACTTTTGATGGGCAGCGGGGTTGGTTCCATGTTTTTGCTATTATGACTAGTGCGGCAATAAACATGTGTGTGCAGGTGTTTTGTAGAATGATTTATGCTTCTCCAGGTATGTTCCCAGGAGAGGGATTGCTGGATCATGTGGAAGGTCAATTTTTAGTTCTTTTAGGAAATGCTACACTGCTTTCCAGAGGTTGAACTAGCTTGCAATCCCACTAACAGTCTAGAATCTTTTCTCCACACCCGTGCCAGTATCTGTTGTTTTTGCAGTATTAATGATAGCCACCCTTACAGGTATCTCCCATATATTTTTAAGGATGATGAATCTAATCATATCTATTATTCTCTGCACCCATGCATGGGACTATTTAGCCAATTCCTGAATAATTCTCTTAGATTCCAGACTAAATAGATTATTTATCTGTCAGTTCACCACCAGGCTTTCTAACATGGCATTCCTTCTATCCCTACTTCTCCTCACGTGACAGGTTCCTACTCATCTTATAATCACTTCTTCAAGGAGGCCTTCCTTGATCTCTGTTTATTTAGTCTTCAGTCTCATATGATGACGTACCTCCCTTGTCTACCCTTCTGTTCCCAGGACCTATCACAGTGCATGGCAGATGCTTGTTGCTGGAAGAACCATTAGGAGGAGGAAGAACAACTAACTTTGCCTATTTACTCACCATTCCATCCCAATGTCCGGTACACAGTAGGAGATCAAATATTTTGAGTCAATTATTGAGTTTGATGAAAGTAACAAATATATGTGTATATATAGATAATATGTTTATTTACAACTCATGCATTCGACATAAATTTATTAAGTACTATATACCCAGCACAATTCTAGGCTGCAGTGATACAGCAGTGAACAAAACAGAAAAACATTCTTGTTTTCATGGAGTTTATATACTAGTGAGAAGATGACAAACAAAACAAATCAATGAAATCTATAGCATGTTAGGTAGAGGGAAATGTTAAAGAGAAAAATAAAGTAAGGAAGGAGACCAGAGAATAAAGAATAGGTGTCTTGCAACTGTGTTATATCTATCTATCTATCTATCTATCTATCTATCTATCTATCTATCTATCTATCTATCTATCTATCTTCTATCTAATTGTTAAAATAAGAAGGAAAGTAAGATAAAGACAAGAGTAGGTACACAAAATGTATTACCTTAAAGTCTTTGCCCTGCTAGAGCTTAACTTACATTTGGCTTTCAGCTTTCCATCAGTTAGAGGACAAATTTGATTTAATTTCTTAATAAAAAATATGACTGTGATTTCTTTTTTAGTTACTGAAAGTTGAGAATTAACTATTTTATGTAAAAATGGTGCTAAAGACTCCCCAGCTGAGTTTTCATTAGTGTCTTTGGTTTATATAAAAGTATTTTTGTACAGTAATCAGTGGTCATATTATTTTGGAACCATATTTTTGTTTTATAATGTTTATATTATATTTTGTTTTATATATTTTACATAAAGGATATAATGTATGCCTATCACTTTGAAAACTATCTAGTATTTCCTTATGTTAACGTCTTCATAATTTATTTAGTCTTCAGTCTCATATGATGACATATGCCAGCACTATATGGCATGTCAGGAGTTCAGAGATGAAGAATCCTCAGCACCCTCACCCTAACAGGGAAGACAGACAGCCTGCACATGAGCCAGTAGAGACACTGCCACAAGTGCCACCAGAGGCATGCTCAATGTGCTAGAGCACAGGAAGGTATGAGAGACCAGCCTAGGGGAAGCAGAGATGTCTTCATGGAGTAGCTCTTGAATATCCAGAGTTTTAACCATTTTTCACCATTTATAGATAGTTCTGCACTTAGCCTTTTTCCAAAGATTTGTTTTATTTTTATATTTGAATTTTCTTTTAGAAAAATTTTTTTCAAAAAGATAGCTACTGAATCAAAGTTCTGAACAACCTATTTCCCTTCTTGGGTATTATCAGCTAGTTCTCTGGATCAGTTCAGGAAGTTGATAGAGGAACCGACATAGATATGTGCCTCTCCTGACCAACATGCCACTACTGTAGCCATGTCCCCTGGAAACACTGTTTTTACTTATAATTCTGTATTTTTCCAAAGTTTGAATCTATAGTGGATTGGAAATTTAACAAACTGGTTCTTTATTGCAGATCTTGAAAAGCACTGCTTTACAGTTAAGTAGTGTGTACCTGTTAAACAGATCCCAAGCCCATTAACCTCTTTCCATTTCTATGACCAGCGCCCTACTCCAAGCCACCATCTGTTGCCTGAAGACCATCTGATGTCCTGCTTTCACTCTTCCCTTTGCAGAATCCATTTTTCACATAACTGCCTCAATGATCTTTTTAAATCAGATCGTGTCTCTCCTGCTGCAATCTTCCAGTGATTTACTATCACACTTAAAAGTCAAAGTTCTAGTGGGTATGAGGTTTCCTTTTGGGTGACTATGTCCTGAAAATAGAGGCTGGACAACTTATACTGAAAGCTGTTGAACTGTACATTTTAAAAAGGTGAATGTTATTATATATGAATTAGACTTCAACTTTAAAAATCCAAATTCCTAGCTTGTTTCACAAAGACAGATATCTGTCCCTGCTTATCTCTCTGCCCTCATCCTCCTACTCCTCCTTAGAATTCTCCAGTCACACTTACCCCTCTGCTTGTTCACTGCACTTACTCCTGCTTTAGGGCTTGGTGCTAGCAATTTTCCTCTACCTGGAATGCTGGCACAGTAAGTAGTCCCCCCTTATCCTGTTTAATGTTCAGAGGTTTCAGTTACCCATGGTCTGCAAATATCAAATGGAAGGTTCCAGAAATAAATAATTCCTATTTTAAATTGCGTGCTGTTCTGAGTAGCGCAATAAAATCTCATGCCATCCAGCTCTGACTCGCCTAGAATGTGAATCCGCCCTTTGTCCAGCGTATCCGAGCAGCAGGCACTACCCATGCGCTGATTACTTGCAGTTGGCTCAGTTCTCAGTTCCACTGTCATGACATTGCTGTGATCATATAAAGGCCCAAAGCATAAGAGTAGTGGAGCTGGCATACTGCTATAACTGTTCTATTTTATTATGTTATTGTTGCTAATCCCTTACTTTCTCTCATTTATAAATTAAACTTTATCACTGGAATTTATGCATAGAAAAACACAGTCCATAGGTTTGGTGGTATCCGTGGTTTCAGGCATGCACTGTATGGGTCTTGGAACATACCCCTCATGGGTAAGTAGGGACTACTATACTTCTAATATTCACATGTTGGCTGTATTTTCATTAAAAGTGCAGCTTAAATTCCACCCCTGCAGCAAGGCCTTCCCTAATAACCAACCTAAAGTAGCCATCTAGTCATTCTCTATCACACCATCCTATTTCAATCTTCTGAAGAACCCTTCCCTGTCCAGTCATTTTCTTATTTATGTATTTGCTCATCTGTTTCCTCCTCTAGGGACTTGACCTATATGGTTCACAATTGGATCTCAGGGGTCTAGACTCTGGAACAACACCTATTAACTATTACACTTAAAAATTTAGGGAATGAATAAATGCTAGCTGTTTTAATTATTGTTGCTATTGCTAGGTAGGCAGGGTCCTTTTACAAGCTATTTATATAATCCTTATTATGTATCATTTTACACAATCCTTACAGAGTCATAAATTTATCCTAAGGACCATGGATGCTGCTAAAGGACTTAAACAGGAAAGTGACATGCACAATTAGTGTAAGATATGTGGGTGCTCTAGCCAGGTTAATAATGTACTCCCTTCAAATAATGTTCTTTAATTTTTTTTTTCAGTTTGGCAATAGTTTTCAAACTTTAGCTTCCACAAGAATCTTCTGGAGGGCTTATTTTAAAGCAGAAGTTACCAGGCTTTACCCCAGAATTTCTGACTCAGAAGGTCTAGGACAGGTTTAAGAATCTGCTTAGCTCCAGATGAGCAAGAGGTTGTTGGTTAGGCCACACCTTGAGAACCTGTGACTTAGAATTCTTTCTGGGAGAAAAGTAGAAAAAGATCAGTAGTAACAACCTCTTCTCCTATTGCCCCAAACAACTAAGATCTGTTCCCAAACCTACATACCCCACAGAGCAAAATAATAGCCTCTTGGCTAATTAGATCCAATCTCCCTGAAGGCATTTTAGAATTCCCCTTGGTAGGGGAGGAGAGGGAAAGAGAGAGGAAGGAGAGTGGAAGGAAAAGAAGTGGGGCTGGGATCTTACCCTCTTTCTTCCAACCACATGTGATATTCTCCCTGAGAAGAATTTCAGGTAAATATTTTCTCCTTTTGTTCGATTTCTAAGAGAGTTCTGCTAGCTCCTTATAAATTGCCCTGGGTAGAATGACTAGCCCCTTTACTCAGCTCTAATGTCATGATTAGATGTATGTTTCAGTAAGATCCTTCTGGTTATCAGGAGGAAGTGGATAGAAATGACACAAGATTGTAGACACAGAGCTCAGATGGGAGATTCTTAAGCAATCCAGGTGAGGGTAGAGAGGATAGAGACAAAGGGAATAGAGTAAAAAATGAATGTGTGGGTTATTTTGGACAAATAATTGATAGGATGTCATGACTAACATTATATGTAGAGAAGAAAGAGCCAAGGATGATTCCTAGGTTTCTGGATAGGATGTAACAGGATGCAACAGGATGCATGACACTTACTAAGAAAGAGAACACTGGAGAAGGAGCTGAGTTAAGGAGACAGATAATGAACCTCTTTTTAGTCATGCTGATTCTAAGACATCATAAAGACATTCAAGTAGCCCTGTCCAGCAGGCAGTTGCATATGTAAATACATGGGTCTGGCCCTCAGTAGACAAGTCTGGGCTAGAGTCATAAATTTGGGAGTCATCAGCATATAGATGATAATTAAAGCCTTGGGAAAGGATGAGATCATCCAATGAGAGAATACAAAGCAAGATCAGGTTTTTACATTAGGAGTAAAATTCACTGAATCATGAGCTATCTGCTTGCAGAGTTAATCACACCTGAGAAAAGCCTTGTTATTTGGTTGATGTGGCCAAATTCGAAACCACTACTATCATTTACTGGAGGCATGTTATTTAATCAAAGGAACTAGTGCCAATAATGATGATGATGATGGCAGTGGTGATGAAAACAAAAACAATGACTAGCACTGAGTTCTTATTATGAGCCAGACACTGTTCTGAGTACTTTTCATGCAATGTTAATTATAGAAAGTAGTTAAAACCCTATGAGTACTTATTATTAACCTCATTTTCCCAATGAGGAAACAGAAGCAGAGAGAAATTAAATAACTTACTCAAAGTCATATAAAAATAAGCAAGGGAGCCAGATTCAAACCCAGGAATCCTGAGTTCCAAATCTGCCTCTCTGAAAGCACTTTACACATTGATTAAACCCAATTGGTATTACTCAGAATACATATAAAGCAAGGGAAAAAATTTAACACATTAATGATTTTAGCACATCTTCTATTAAATGAGAAATTCTTACACTCTATGCTGTAAGTCATTAGCTAATTAAAAAGTCCTATAGATTATAATGAAAAATATGAATGCTTATTATCTGCATAACATGTTCTTCCAATAGCTGTTTCCAACTTTTCCTTATAAACACAGACAATCTATATTTTAACTCTCAACAACACCAATACATGCTTTTATATAACTACTTATAACCATTTTGCTAATGTAAAGGTAATTTGTTCATCCTTTCTTAGAAATGAAAAATATTTAATAATACTACTACTAAGGTACTTAAATGTTACTTTTCTCTTCAAAACATTTTATTACATAATTAATTTTCCAATAGCTCATGTATGTAAATACTATAATTTCCACTATAAAATAAGAAAATGAATTGCTAGCTCAGGGGAGATTAAATCTCAGAATTAGAATTCAGGCTACCCAATCTTTCTAGTCCCTTTCTCAAGTTAAGTCTTCTTGTAAAACTCAAAACATTCAAAGTCTAATCAACAAAAACACAGTAATTGACAAAAACAATATCTTAAGAGAGGTTTGGCTTACCTCAAAAGATCTGAAAGCGTTATTGTTTCTCTCTGCCAAAGTAACGACAGATAGCAGAAAGCAAGTGTCCTTGGCACAGTCATCTTCATGATTCCCTTCTCCTTTCGTTTTGAGTATTCAACTCCATCAAGAGATCCAGAACAGACAGACGCCGTTTCTTAGGGGATAAATCAAGATTTTTTAAAAAATGTAAGTAACTATTTTGAATAAAATCAAAACTACAAAAAATATCTTAAAATCAGATTACAATTGATATAAACTTCACAAACAGTAATTTGGCAATAAAGGACAATGAAGAATTAGAAGGAAATTAGCCAAAAAGGTAACTGTGGTTTATCTGTGGGAGTGAGATGGGGAGGGATTTGAACTGTTTGCATTTTTAAATAGTGAATATAAACAAATTTTAAAATAAATAAGAGGATAACAATTACAATGCAAAACCAAAAAAGTGTAACAACTCCTTTGACTCTGGCCTCAAATCCCATGACCTCTTCTTTGAGAGGACTTTCCAGAACTCCAGCTAAAGCAGCACCTTCTCCTACTCTTCATCCTCCAGACATCCTCTGCCATAAGGCACTGTGAATCCTCATTCATTCATAAACTCAACACATACTTATTTATCTCATTCTTTGTGCCACTCTTCTATGCCTCAGGAATTACAGTGAACAATGTCTCATCTCTCTTAGAATGTATATTCCAGTAATGGAAAGCAGACTAAAAAACAAACAAACAAACAAAATACAATTGACAGAGCTGTCTTTGTCTTAGTTACTTGGGAGGCTGAAGTGGGAGGATCATTTAAGCCTAGGAGTTCAAGTCTGCAGTGACCTTAGATTGCACCACTGCACTTCAGTCTGGGTGACAGAGTAAGATCCTGTCTCTAAAAAAAGAAAAATAAAATCCCTTTTTCCAGATTCTGTAAATCTCTTCTTCATAGCATTTACCAGTAACTGAAATTTTATTTGCGCATCTATTGTCTATCTCCTCTCGCTACAACATAAACACCTTGAAGGAAGACAGTTTTGCTCACCACTGTGTACCAGTGCCCAGGGCAGTCCCTAGCACAGAGCAGAAACTAAATGTGACAAACTGGTCCAACAGTTCTACTTCTAAGATTTCATCTCAGTGAAAAGATTTTTTTTTTTTGAGTTGGAGTCTCACTCTGTCACCCAGACTGGAGTGCAGTGGCCGCTCCCGGCCACCGCAGCCTCGACTTGCTGGGCTCCGGCGATCCTTCCACCTCAGCCTTCCAAGTTGCTGGAATTACAGGCATGCGCTACCACGCCCGGCTGATTTTTTGACTTATTGTAGAGATGAGGTCTCACTGCCCAGGCGGGTCTCGAACCCACGGGCTCAGGCAATCCACTCACCTCAGCCTCCCAAAGGCGCGGGATTACAGGCTGAGTCACCGAACCCGGCTGTGAAATGATTTTTAAAAGAGCAAAAGGTTGGGCACAGTGGCTCATGCCTGTAATCCCAGCACTTGAGGCCAAGGCAGGAGGACTGCTTAAGCCCAGGAGTTTGAGACCAGCCTGGGCTACAGAGTGAGACCTTTTCTCTAAAAAAAAATTTAAAAGTTAGCCGGCTGTGGTGACATGTGCCTACAGTTTCAGCTACTCAGGAGGCTGAGGCTAGAGGATCATTTGAGCCCAGAAGTTTGGGGCTGCAGTGAGCTGTAAGCATGCCACCATATTCCTGCTTGAGCAACAGAGTGAAACCCTGACTCAAAAAAAAAAAACAAAAACAAAGGTTTAAGGTCAAGGAATGCTGTGGCAGCACTGTTTATAATACGAAAAAAATGTAGAACAACTTAGATGCCAGGAATATAAGTTTAATTAAATAAGTCCATGCAGTGGTAGTCTACATGGTAATTTTCATAATTTAGATAGATGGTTCCCAAAGTATAGCCTAACAGTATTAGTAGCACCTGAAAACTTAACAGAATGCAAATTATTGTGGTCTAACAAGTCTTCCAGGTGATGGATGCTAAAGTTTAAGGATCACTGTTTTAGAAGAATATATAAGGACACAGATTTCCATAAAAATTGTATGTGTACACACACACACACACACACACACGCGCGCACACACACACACTTTTTTGTACGGTCCTTATGACTTCCAGTTAGGATGGCAGCCTGAAAACACAAACTGGCCTCTCCTCTATCCCACTACAATTATTACAAAGGAATTTTTAAAACATGTAGACCCAAGATCAAATAATATGTAAAAGAAAACAGCAATAAAATCTTAGAAGTTAAAAAGCATATGGATAGGTAACTACTGCTTTAGCAGTCCTGAGAAAGTCAGATCCAAAGCTAGTAGTGAGGAAAGCTAAAAAGCAATCTAATTTTCACTGGAAATCCCTAAAGAAGACTCAGTACCAAGTACCCCTGGAAACTGGATGAAGGCAGTGCTAACACCAGGATTGCTTGAAAGTATGAGTAAGAAGCAGTTAGATATCCAGGTTCTTATCCCAACACCATGCAGCCAAATGACTGCCCCTCCCCAGTCCTAGCCAAAAATTGGAAGTTTCTTCTCCAGAAAGAAGGGTCTCTAGAATAGGGCATGCATACTAGTCACATGCACAGCTGAGAAGTGAAAACAGGAGTAAGTGAAAGTTTACATACTGAGTATTGAGACAACCCCCTCATTCCCCCTGGGCCTTCTTCTTCCCACCCAGTTCCCAGAACATTGACAGCCAGGATTACACACCCACCAAACAGAAGACTCAAGATTTCTCTGCAGAATCTGATCAGCTTAGGGGTAAAAGATTAAAAGATGATAAATCTGGATGTGCACTAAAAAAAATAACCCAGCTAGATTACCCTTGCGTACAGAGCAGAGCTGAAAAGACTGACCATGGGTACAAAGCTTTCAATCAACTTTTTAGTCTCCATCTAAAAATAAGAATAGGTTATCTTATACTTACTAAACATTTGAAGAAAGCTTCTAATATAAAAAGCAGAGACCAAAATATAAAAAGCAGAGGGGAAATATCAATAACATCTTCTGTAAAATAAAAGAAAGTGTTCCACAAAAATGAGTAAGTAATTCAGGAAAGAAGATGAAATGGGATCCAGGAAATACAAAAGACAACCAAAGTAACAGAATTTCAGGATGGTGGCAAAGAAAGATCTTAACCAATTAGGCTATAGGTCTAGAGACAACATTCTAGATCGGATCAAGTCAGAGGCTCCAGAGAGACTTTTTCCAGAAGATGAAATTGACAGAATACCTAAAGTATTGAGAGATTATAAGAACTAAGAAGAAGTGTGGAGAAACATAAGTAATAACTTACAGATTAGTGATAAGTAGAGAGAAAACTAAATAAGTACCAAAATTCAACTCTGGGAAAACCAAAGGATATAGAGAAAAAGTAATCATAAGAAGCTACATGATTCAGTTCTGAATAGAATTTATAATAATTAAAGCAGTAAACATTGATCTACTAAAACATAATATAATTATATTGGTAAGATAGAAAATGAGAAATGTACAATCATATACTTGTGACTGTGCAGAGGAAGGACAGTGAGGAATGGGTGAAAGAGCTAAGATGGAATTCAGTAGCTAATATCTCTAACCAAAAATCAAGATGTAATACTAGAAGCATGTGACACAGATATATGGAAGCTACAAAAGAGTTAAAAATGAACACCTCTTGAGAATAGGACATGTGGGGGCTAGCAGTCTACAACCTTTAAAAAAATTTTGTTTTTGCAATTTTTCATAACAATAGTTATAGAACTATTTGAATTATGTGTATATAGATTTTGATTTAACAATTTAAAAAATGAAGAAATAGTTCCGTTTTGCAAAAAAAACCAAAAAATTCTTTCCCTTTATATATACACATGAAGAAAAAACTTTCTGGATTTCTAAGAGTAGTAATTTCTGGGTGGTACAATAACTGAGATGATTTATTTTTCTGAGACTTTCTGCATTTTATAGTTTTGCCTTAAGAGTTGCATTAATAATTACTTTTATTAGTATAACTAAAAGAAAGCTCTATGAATCACCATTTTCTAAAACAAACAAACAAAAACCTTTAATATAGGTATACAATCATGATGCTTTACAAAAATTAACATTTTTTTAAAATAGGCTTGGATGGTTTTAGAGTCTTAGTCTTCTGGGACTTTGAGTCCTGGCTTGCCTAAAAACATGAAGAAGAAAACTCCAGAGATTTGTTGCTGCTCAATTATTCTATGATTCTAACATTTTACTTCTTTGGATACAAAAAGTAACTTCTGATAATCTGTGTAACTCTGCAGTCCAGCAAGAAATGCAGATAAGCTGATAAAGAAATTTTTATTTAGAGGGCAAGGAACTTGCAAATAAATAGTCCATACAAAAAATGTTCTGTTGAAAATTGTATATAACTACACTTAACCCAAATTTCAATAAACAATTCCTGATACCAGAGGTGTGGAAGTTATTTCCCAAAGAATTCTATTAGCATACATCAAGATTTGTGTAATCTATAATAAAAGCCTGGTCTGTTTGTTAAGGTCTGCTTTCTACCATGGTTTTTTAAAAAATGTAGTGAAGGAACAACTAAAATGAAGAAATGCTTTAGCAAGAAAGTTTATATAACCTTAAGTATATTCCTTATCTATTTTAAGTTATGGAATTAAATCAGAAAGACACATATGGAACATGGTAAATTTTATTCATCTTGCTTTAGTTTATACTTATAAATTAAGTACATCATCTTTGACTCTCGTCTGTCTTACCATATAACTATATTGTAACATTTTTCTGATGCAACTTTCTGAGCTCACACATAAATTTTTTTGTGCTAGACTCCTCTTTAGATTCACTTGCTTTTTATGTCCATTAAAAAAAAATCACACAGGAATACTCACATAGAGACAATATGCCTTTTACAAAATTGCACTAAGATTGCATTTAATTCACCTTTCTCTTAGCCATATGATTCAGCAAATCATTCTTCCCTGTTAGACCAAGTTCCCTTCCTTGGAATATCAAGAGATTGGATTAAATTATTCTAAAGAGGCAGTACCAGCTTTAAAGTTCTAAATGGTTTGGTTCTCATTTTTACCTGACTGTGATGCTTTGCCAATGGGGAAAGGTTTTCGAGTGTGGGCATCAGACTGAGAATCCACTCCACTTTCAACAAAAGTACAGCTAACATCACTTAGCAGCTCAGGCTCACTTGCCCAGTCTGAATGATTTAGATTATTTTCTAATACCTGTTTGCAAAATAATATAAATAAAATTATTACATAGTTTAAAACACAGTTAATTTCTGCAAACTTAAACAATTTCTTACCATCATAAACACCATAAAAGAAATCACTTCTAGAGAACTGCAACTGTCTGTCAAGTCCCTAAGTCTGAAAGATCTTTAGTTTTGAAGCATGCTCCCGATAGCTCCTAGTAATGCTTCTTGGAGAAGGGCTACATACAAGGTTGAGTAAGGAAACAGGCTGCTAGAACATGCATCAGGTCTCTTCCTCCTTCCATGAACATCTTACAACACTAGTATCATGACATCAAACAGTAACTCCATGTATGTTGGCTGGCTTCATTGTACAAAACTATCTGGGGAATTTTTGCTTTGTATCTTTGTATCTCCTGTCCTTTTCCTCTCCCTCTCTCAAACTCATTACTTATTCCTTCATACTGTCTTTCCAACTCACTTCCTTCATACTGTCTTTCCAACTCACTCTCCTTCATTTATTTCTTATTTCCTTGAACTCCTATAGTACATACTACTATAACATATAATGGACAAGGGTATACTATCTCATATCATTCTTTCCTATTTCACACATGTGCTGTTGAAACAATGGTCAATAGTGTCCCTAAAAAGCTCAGCTGGCTGGCTATTTAAAGTCCTCATTAGCTGACATTACCTTGGGGAATTGATCATAGTCAAAAAGTCATGATGTCAACCCTGCAGGCCAAGAAACCCAATATGACCCAATATTACAAGGCAATATGACTCATATTAAAGAAGCTCACAAGAGAGTGAAGCAAAAAATAAACAAAAAATCAGGGAATGAAATAAGATGCTTATATCCTCTGTCAAGCACATCCCCTTTAAAGAGGCAGTACTAGCTTTAATGTTCTAAATGGTTTGGTTCTCATTTTTACCTGACTGTGATGCTTTGCTGACGGGGAAAGGCTTTTGAGTATGGACATCAGACTAAAACTCCGCTCCAATTTCAACAAAAGAAGTACAGCTAACATCATTTAGCAGCTCTGGCTCACTTGCCCAATCTGAATGGCAAGGGCAAGTGAGCCCTTCAGGCAAGCCACAAGAGGCAAGGTGTATCACAGAGCTGGCTGATGAGCAGGAACACATTGAGAAAACTTCCACAGGTGACCACTGCCAAAACTCTAACACATACTCTGTCTCTGCTAGACTCTTCCAGACTATCCAAACTCCCATCTAAAGACAGTTTCTCCATTTGTGCACTCAACCCCACCCCTTCACCTATTCAAAGACTCACTTCTACTTTTCTCCATTGTGAATTTTTCTTCTTTCCTGTATAATTCCTATCAGAACACAAATATGTTACCATATATCCCACTTTTTAGAAAACTTTCCCCTGATCCCAGCTACCACACAAATTCTTTTTTTTGTTTTTTTTCAATAATCAATATTTTTTTATTATGATGTTGTGGGGTACAGTTAAGGGTTAGGTATACAAATACATTTCATTCAGGCTCCCTATTGATTAGAGGTGCTTCCCCATCCCCAGACAGATATTTGCTCTTTAATCCCATCTCTCTCCCCACCCCCCCATAGTTTCCCACTACTGTCAGTCATTTTTTTATAGTATTAGATTGGATGTTCAAGGTCCATTATATGAGTGAAAACATGTGATACTCAGACCTTTGTTTTTGGGAGACATCACTCTGTATTATAGACCCTAGTTCCAACCAGGTGGCTGTGAAATTCATGATTTTGTTCTTTTTTATGGCTGCGTAGTATTCCATCGTCTATATGTACCACATTTTTCTAATCCAATCCTCTTTTGATGGACAGCATGGTTGCTTCCAGGTTCTTGCTGTTGTGAACAATGCTGCGATAAACATACGTGTGCAGGTGTCTTTTTTGTAGAGTGATTTGTGTTCTTCCCAATATATTCCCAGTAGGGGGATTGCGGGGTCATATGGGAGGTAGATATTTACAGCTTTTAGGAATCGCCACACTGCTTTCCACAGAGGTTGCACTAGTTTACACTCCCACCAACAGTGTAGAAGTGTTCCCTTTTCTCCACACCCTCTCCAGCAGCTGTTATTTTTTGAGTTGTTGATAATTGCCATTCTGACTGGAGTTAGGTGGTATCTCAGTGTGGTTTTGATTTGCATCTCCCTGATGATTAGTGAGGCTGAACATTTCTTCATATGTCTGTTGGCTGCTTGGATGTCTTCCTTTGTGAAGTGTCTGTTCATGTCTTTTGCCCATTTTATAATGGGGTTGTTGGTTTTTTCTTTTCAGCATGTTTGAGTTCCTTGTAGATCAAAGATGTTAAGTCTTTGTCTGACCTGGTGTTGGCAAATATTTTTTCCCAGTCTGTGGGCTGTCTCCCTGCTCTCTTGATGGTTTATTTGGCTTTGCAGAAGCTTGTCAGTTTAATAAGGTCCCACTTGTCTATCCTCTCTCTTATGACCTGTGGGTTTTGGATTTTGTTTAGGAATTGGAGGCCAGTTCCGATTTCCATGAGGGTATGTCCTTCATTTTCTAAGGTTCTTATGGTTTGAGGTTTTACATTTAGGTCTCTGATCCATTTGGAGTTAACCTTTGTGCATGGGGATAGGTAGGGGTCCAGTTTCAATCTTCTGCATGTGGTCAGCCAGTTTTCCCAGCACCATTTACTGAATAGGTTCTCCTCTCCCCAGTGGTAGGTGGTAGAGGCTTTGTCGAAGATGAGTTGGTTGAGAAATTGAGGTTTTGCTTCTGGAATCTCAATTCTATACCATTGGTCTACATGGCTGCTCCTGTACCAATACAAAGCTGTTTTGATGATTGTTGCTTTATAGTAGAGTTTGAAGTCTGGTAATGTGATACCCCCTGCTTTGTTTTTTTTTGCTGAGAATTGTTCTGGCTAGACTTGGACGTTTGTGTTTCCATATGAATCCCTGTGTTGTTTTTTCTAGGTCTGAGAAGAATGTTGCTGGTAATTGGATGGGTATTGCGTTGAATTTGTAGATTGCCTTAGGTAAGATGGACATATTCACAACGTTGATTCTTCCAAACCATGAGCCTGGGATATTTTTCCACTTGTTTGTGTCATCTTTGATTTCTTTGAGCAGTGTTTTGTAGTTTTCATTGTAAAGGTCTTTCATGTCTCTGGTTAGGAAGATGCCAAGGTATTTCATTTTTTTTGTGGCTATTGTGAATGGAATTGTGTTTTTTATTTGGGTTTCTGTTTGTTTATTATTGGTGTAAAGAAATGCAATTGTCTTTTGCACATTTATTTTGTATCCTGAGACTTTGCCAAAGGCCTTTATCAGTGTAAGGAGGTTTTTGACAGATTCTCTTGGGTTTTCAAGGTACACAATCATATCATCTGCCTAGAGAGATAACTTGACTTCCTCTTTTCCTATTTGGGTACCCCGATTGCCTTCTCTTCTCTGATTGCTTGAGCCAGGACTTCCAATACTATGTTGAACAGGAGGGGTGAGAGTGGGCATCCTTGTCTTGTTCCAGTTTTCAGGGGAAATGGTTCCAATTTTTGTCTGTTTAGGAGTATGCTGGCTGTGGGTTTCTCGTAGATGGCTTTTACTATTTTGAGGTATGTTCCCCATATGCCTAGATGTTCGAGGGTTTTTATCAAGAAGGGGTACTGGATTTTATCAAAAGCTTTTTCTGCATCTAATGATATAATCATGTGGTTTTTTTTTTTGACATCTGTTGATGTATTTAATTACATTTATGGTTTTACGAATGTTGAACCAGCCTTATATCCCAGGAATGAAGCCTACTTGGTCATGATGGATGATTTTTGAGATGTATTGTTAAATCCGGTTTGCTAGGATCTTGTTGAGAATTTTAGCATCTATGTTCATCAAAGATATTGGCCTGTAGTTCTCTTTCTTTGTTGGATCTTTACCTGGCTTGGGTATCAATGTGATGTTGGCTTCGTAAAATGATTTGGGGATAGTTCCATCTTTTCAATCGCCTGGAATACCTTCAGTAGGATTGGTATCAGCTCCTCCTTGAATGTCTTGTAGAATTCTGCTGGAAA